TGATGAGGATTAAATAAAAGGCTGAAGGAATAGTTAAGAGGGATGATAAATTTGTTAATATCTGCTGAAAAGAAGATCAGAAGTCATTTATTTTCTATAGTTATCTTTTTTCTTCTTTGTACCTTATTCTCTTTTTTCTTTTGTTTTTTAGATTCGTCTTCTACTTATGAAAAAATCTTTAATAAAAATTATATATATATAAAAATAAATTAAAAATTGCCAGGGATGCCCCCTCCCCCCCCCCCACCTTGATCACTATGTGGGAGCCACTGAAAGTAAAATGTAAATATGAGCAGGGCCAACATGTTCAATATTTTTCTGCATTTCACCCATTTCGACTCTTAAACTCCCTCCAAACAGAAAAAAAAATAGCTTATTAAGAAGATGCAGATGCAACTTGTAGATTCTCAACCCATCCTCAATCATTTACACCACAATCGTTCTCTTTGACATTAAAAGGTGGAACCCAACTTTCAAGGAACAGCAAACAGTACTTACTCACAACAGTTGTCTTGAACTTATTGTTGTCATATTCAGCCCCGCAGATCTCCACCTCTACAAATGGACATGCGATGCTTCTACCCGACTTGGGAAGATGGCGAGCACCAATGACCTGTTTCAAGACAGCATCCAATATTCAAATCATTCCAAATAATACCAAGTTACTGATGCATGTATCCAGAAGCTATTACTCAAACAAGATCATAATGTAGCAGCTTCTTCCTCCAATACGTATAGCACAACTGATTCAACAACAAAGATTCAGTCACACCCATTCATTACAGTTTAGCTAAGCCCTCACCTCTGGCTATACTTTTAGTTAAAGCCAGATTTTAGTAATAATTTTAATTGTATTAACCACACTGAGCATACAGTTGAGCAGTATAGGGTACTACTATTACCCTGTAGTAGGCCAGGTAACAATTATTCAAGAAATCAAAGCAGGGAAACTTGCTTATAGCAAAGTATATCATTGTTTTAGTGGTCAGAACAATGGCAGAATCAGATGACGATGGTTTTACAAAAAGGCAACTTTGGTTTAGCAAATTTATAACCAGAAAGCAAGCTATCTGGAGCAGGCAATTCTGGGCTATCAAATTGTTGGCTTGCATTTGACCAGATCACTGGAAAGTGATGTTTTGACTACAGTGCTCCGTGAAGTACAGTTCTCATATTTGTTCACCCATATGTTAACGCTAGTATTTATTGCTATTTTGGGCAGAAAACCCACAGGCTGTTGGCAGATACTACAAAAGGTCTTCTCTTAGCCTATGAAAGGGCTCCAGTCCACAAGCCATATTCCCAAAAGCTCTCGTCTAACAACACTGCCAAGCATAATTCATATTAAACCTCTTAGGGGCCCCCCAACACTCCTTGTCTGTAATTAATATTCAGGAAAAACATTTACCCTCACTGTCAAAATCATTTGCAGTTTCTTCTTGGATTCATTTGGCACCGGGTCATAGGCCTCACTTCTCATGCTTTCTGGCTGGAGCACATACCCAGCCCAACCATTCAGTGAGAACAAAGCTTGATTCATTTGCATGTATTTATCTGAGAAGATTTGGAATGGAAAAAAGTCATTAGCTAGTTAGTTATCCAGAAAACGAATGGAAAAGACTGGCAAAAAGCAAAATCTCCTATATAAGAAAGGGATTCGAGCTTTTCTTTATCAACCTAGGACTAAAATGAGCTTGTGGAGCAATCCAACTGTGGGGGTCTTCCCAGTAGGATGCAGCCCTCTTCCTTCTCAAAGGAAATGAAACAACTATAATATAGCTACAGTACGACGTTGTTCCTGCCCTATTAATTCCAGCAACTATTTCTGATGGCAACCAAGAACGATCAGGTTTGAATTCCCCTTTAATACACCTGGAGATAAAACTGGAGGTAACGTTCTCCATTATATCCCAAAATACCAAATTCCAACGTGAAATGTGGGGGAAGTGTGTGCGTATTGAAATTGTAACAGTATTAGTTGGATTTATAGAAAACTTATTTTTTCTTTTGTTACAAAGGTGTAACAAAATACATCAGTGATGTGATAATAAAAAACTACATAGGTGTCAATGATTAAAGTAAACATTGGAGGAAAGAAGAACCTAATAAAAAGGAAAAGGAAAATATGGGAAAAGATCCATATAGTATAACATAAATTTAATTCAGTCCTTAAAGAACTTATTACACCCAGGCCACATAGATATTGCTCCAGTTTCTCATTTTGAAAATGACATTTCAAAATTGGATAGAGAAGAATCGTTTATATTTCATAGAGCACTGACTAGCTACTGGCAACTCCAAAACTAACAGACTTTCAGCATTTGCACGAGGCTTAAATTAACAAAGTGAGGTAAAACACACAAACACACACTTCTGTTTGCCTTCCAATATTAACAATATTTAGCAGGAGATCTCTCTCAACATTCAGTGGGAACATTTCAGACATTTCCTATTAAGTATGATACATTGACGAATGGTTGCTTATTTATAAAAGGAAGTGGCGAAGGGAATGAGAACTCTGTCCCTTTTTTTACCTGGTGTCTGGTAATTAAGAGCCACCATCTGTACCCCACAAAACCAGAAGCGAAAAGGTTCATAATTTGAGGAATCCACTCTTTGCCCTTTTGGATAAATTCGAGTCAGTCCCTTCTGGTTGTATTTTAGTAGGTCAACTGGTTTCTGCTTGACAATACTTTCTGCTTTGGTTTCCACAAAAGAACGAATTTCTTTGAAATCGGGATTATCTACAAAAAGGAAGTGCAGGAAGAAGCTATTTCATAAAACTATTCCACATAACTGACTGCAGAGTTGCAATTCCTTCACATCTAAAGACCATTCTCAAAGCATTAGAGATGTGACTTAAGAGCCAGCCCCACTGGTCCTGGTGCCACTTTGAGAAAGATCTGGCTGTATGATCAAAGAACACATTGAGGACAGTTAGAAATTTCCAGTTGGGAGCACAAAGGGACAAACATTCTCAGTAGGTTTGGAACAGACCATTTTCTCAAGTGTACTCTTCAGATTCTATTTCAGTCTCGTCTCTGAAAAAATTACACTACTTGTTTAAGGTTGTCTTCTATACCCATAAACGGAACTTCTCATTCGAGCAGTATATAATGTAAACAAGAGCCATTAACTGCTGTTCGTTAGAAGCTTAAGTTCAATGGACCAAGAAGAGCAACTTAAATTGAGAAGGCAATTAATAGCACAAAATGTTGCCCTTGTTCCTAAGAACAAGGGGGATGTTTGCTGGCCAGTACAACAGTATATCGCATACACACTTCACCCACCTACCCAAACCCAGTGCTGTCTACCCTAATCCATTCACTTTACACATGTCAAAAAGATCAGGAGGTGAACTCCAGTAATTTCTCTATCTGAGAAATTGACGTTATATATCTAAATTGCCTTCAGCAAAGATGATTCATCCATAGCTTAGCCACTAGCATTCCATGATATGGAATCACAATTTCTGATCTGGACCGCTAAGTGATCATTGTTACAAGGCAAATGTGGGGTCTAAATAAGTAACTATCCCGTTTTGGTGAAGGAATATGCTGGTTGCAGAAGGTTGCAAAGTAGATCACATCATACATGGGGGCAGGAAAGAGGTTTTTTTAATAGTGATAGGACTACCAGGGACTTATACAACAGCTTCCATCTGTGTCTCACTTCAAATAGAGGGAAATTGCGCTATCAGCTTTTAGCAATCGTAGAAGGGGCTTCAAAGACCCTTGTGTTGCAGATTTCCCACCTCTGCAGTATTGGCAAATATGCAAATATCAAATAAGAGTAGCTTGATTTTTTTTTTAAAGACACCTCTCTTCCCTAAAATCAACAAATGTTCTTTTTCGTTTAGCAAGCTAACTGATGGATTAAAAATGGGTTACCGAGGTTGTCCTTGGTTTTGCTTGTTGGTATGCAATAGATTACCAAGTCAGATAATTCCATGGCAATTAACTGCTTCTTTTCCAAGTATCCCTTTAAAGTTTTCTGTATTAAGATTTAATAAAAAAAGCAAAGTTCAGAGAATATATATTACATCATGGCAGTTACCCAACAGGAAAAGAAACCTCACACAATGACTCATTCGTCTTCAACTTTAGGGTAGCTCTACACAATTCCTGTCAAAACAAGACCTCCATACAGTCTAACTAGCATTCCCGACTATGAAAATTCAATGAATGCAGACTTTTTTTCAAAACAACAACAACTCCCTCCCAATTATCTCAAAACATACAGGTGTTTATGTTATTTGATCTTCAGGTAAGATAACCATAAGTTTACTGTCAAAAATGTCATGCTGTCATTGTGTGACAAGAGTGACATTTGGGAATAAAAGCTAATTTGGAAAAAGTAAAGTAATTTAAGGAACACTTGCGTGATTCTGAACCATATAAAGAAAATGCTCCAATAGAAGAGAATATCTGTAGCTCAGGGTTGACCTGTGGAGTCCTTGGTGCTCTCTGAGCTTGGTGGTTTGCTTGGAGTTGTTTCATTACTCAACTAGGTAACATCACTGATGATGCTACCTAATCAGGTAATGAAATGTCTGCAAGCAAACCACCAAGCTCAGAGAGCACCAAGGACTCCAAAGACAATGTTCTCTTCCAAGCCTTTTTGGCTACTGGCATAAGTGGTTGGAAAACTGGTCCTTTCAACCTCTGTTCAAAGACTGAAATGAATGGCTGAACAGTATTTGGAGAGGGCCAGTGCTTCTACCTCTTCAGCAGTTCTCCATGTGATTTCCCTGATGCTCTGAAACCACTCAAACCACTCTTCCACTTTATCGGTGGCAAACTCAACAGGAGGGTCGTCAGGATTCTTGGGTTCTAGGACAAAGACAAAACTCTTCCCATGGTTTCCTTGAGGCATTTTCACTATTGGAAATGAAAAAACAGAAACAGAATCAACATTCCTGGCCAAATGTTCTACAAGATGTTTCCCATCATCAGGGCTTCTCAGCAGAACTTTATCATGCCATGAAATGCAAACTCTATCATTCAAAGATTTCTCCACAGGGAGTGCATTTATTAGCTTGGAAGCATTGTTCAGCATCTGGAGCTGTGAACAGGGTAAGGAAAAGCTACAATACTGAGCTAAACAGATCAAAGATCCATGCTGAAATCTGGATGTGAAGCGGAAAAGGCGATTTTGAGTGCTGGGGTGTTTGTGCTTCACCTGTTCCCAAGTCCTTAGAGAAGCCTAAGTCTTCTCTTAGGCTCACGTAGCAGCATGGAAAGACACATCTGACTGAAGGACATGCTCCGGCTCACCTTTTCCTCTTCCTGACTGGTGCCCACCCTTACTTGATAAAATAAGTTTGTGTTGTTCCAGTGACTTAAGCAAACATGCTGGCGAACACATCCCAAGTGCTCTGCTTCAATACACATCCCTCCCGGTCTTTGCTTTTCATGTGTCATCCAGTGATTTTCCATAGCTGAGAGTTCATCTGAACGTGGGTCTCCCTAATCCCATCATTTTAGGAGTTTGTTTTTGTTGTTTTAAAACTGAGTTTGGGATTATTCCTCTCCCGTTTATTGCAGTCATACAGACTTTTAATAAAGAGTGAAGTGGAGAAACCCTAATGGAGCCACATGTAAGCAAATCCTTCCAGAAATCCTAGTTAGAAAGGAAACAACGGTATTGCCCTTCTGAAGGAGCTTACTGTATAACGACAGGAGGAGGAGGAGGAGGAGGAGGAGGAGCTGATAGAAACTGCAGAATGACGTATAAGCAGAACAAGTAGTATTCTAAGGTTTTCTAAGGGACAGATCTGCATTTTTTTTCTTCCACAACTGCTTTTAATTTAAAGAGCAAAGAAATTGGAACCCAGCATCTACATACCTACTGTATATAAATTGAGATCCAGAATACCCCGACACAGTGACCCTAAAGGATTGTCCTCAAAGATCTGGAAAGAAAAGATTTGTATTTCTTTATATTGTTTTTTTTCTAACCTTTCATCTTCAGAAGTAGAAGTACAGTAAAAAAAAAACCTGATTCCCACACGTCCATTAAAATTCCAAAAGCAACATTTTAAAATAATAAATCTTCACCAAGGAATTTGATCACTGAGAAATTATCATCAATGAGTTTAACTAAAGTTCTGGGTAATTAATAATATTTTTTCTATTAACTAGATAGCTGTAATAGGAGAGCTGGCACATATTTTAGATGGACCTCTGTTAATTTGTTAGCTGTAAGGTTTTTTAATATTTTTATTTTTTTAACAAAACAATATTTAATCTTAAAGAAAAAGAAAAAAAATTTACAGTACAAACTAAGAAAGAAAAGGAAACAAAAAGGAAAAAATCTATCTTATATTTTATACTTATCAATAGTCACTGGTTTACCTAGCTGTACATTTACTGTTATAGCATACAATTTAATATAAGAGCAATTCCTAATATATACAGTTTTTCTATTACTGAGTGGTATTAGCAAAGCAGAACAAATAATTTGGCAGAAGAAAGAAAGAAATCTCTTTACTGCCCACCTTACCCACCAGCTTGTAATTATTTAATTCCTAGTAGCTATATTTCTTTAAATTTATCAGGTAGAGCTGGGAAGTTCAATAATCAAAGTGCACAGCTATAAAATTCTAGTTACTCAAATGTTGTCTGTTAAGATTTTGCAGGTTTTTCAACAGCAAAAGTATGCATTGCTTCTCCAGTTGTGTACATGAATATTATTTCCTGGATTTGGCGTACAAAGTTGATGTGTCAATATTCATATCAATAAGCAGAAATAGCGTCCAAGCATACAGAGGGAGAGACAGAGAAATCTAACAAAGATGCTCTTCATATGGAAAAGTATTAAGAATCATAGATGGATGACTCATTCTGTATACATGTGGAGCATGATTTTGGAGGTTATCTTAAAGGTAGAATTCAGGTCTGCATGCTGATAAATCCTTTCAATGGATTTGAGGAACATCAAGAATACATTCTAGCTTGTGGATCACAACAAAAACTCTCCCCACCTGGTTCTCAAGCTCCTCCGTGCTATCGTATGACATGTCTTCAACATAATTGGATGGAAAATAATGTTGGACCTTGTACCCATAATCACCTTTCCACCTGGTTAAAAAGGAAAAAGAATTAAGGAGTGGGATTTGAATCATAAAAGTAACTACAGTAATACCTCGGTTCACGAACGCTTCTGTTCACGAACAATTCGGTTCACGAACAGCACCGCTCGCAAAATTTT